TCTGCGTTTCTGCGCTAGGCTAATGCTAATGCTAATAAAATGGTGGCTTCACAACACTTTTTTTGAGTTTTACGGGGCGTGGTTTGCAATCAGCCCAGCCAATCAGAAATATAGCTCTTTTCTCACAAGAGAGCCGCATGAGAGTCACTGCTCTCTAGCAGGGACGGAAAAGGGGGTAAAAAGGTTCTCATGAACTAATTTTAGTTCCGGCTCTTTTTGGTGTGAACGCGACATTTCGGAACTATATCGGAACTAAAGTGAGAAAAGTACTCCGGTGTGAACGCGGCTAATATGAACCAAAAATAATTGCTATTGCTATTACTTCTAGTCAAACTGAGCCTCAGCTAATGGAAGAGAATACATTCATTTAAAGAAAATCACATAGAAAAGTCAAGACTTGGGTAAACGGATACAGTGGTTTGGGTGAATATTAGGGATTTACCTACAGACATTTTCAAAAAGTCATAATTTTAAATCAGTACTGAACATTTTGAAGTTGCTGACGTCTTGACAAAGGACTAAAATGGTGCAAATGAACCTGCATAAGTTATATGTTGCTCTAATCATATTGTTGTACCTCTTTCTCCATGAAGAACATGTCCATCTGCTGCCCGAAGGCCTCGGTCACTTTCTGCAGCAGCTCTTTGATCTTCAGAGGCCTCTGGAACGGGATGATCCTGAGAGAGAGAGAGAGAGAGAGAGAGAGAGAGAGAGAGAGAGAGGGGTCAGAGGTCGCACAAAGAAGCTACTGTTGTGTCTGGCTGGGACATTCATGAGCTCAGGCTGTGAAGGGCAGGGTTAGGGGGGAGTTTTCCACAGATATACTACTCATAGTTCAAAGAAAAGTTAAATGGGAAAAGGGAAAAGATTTAGAAAGAGAAAATTAGTTATAAATCTAGTTCTTTTTAACATGTTTCCAGATTGTGTAAGAGTATCTTTCAAATCCATTTAATGGTGGGAAGTCCATTTACTTTACTTTCCTTTTTATGCTACTTTATGGTAGGGCTGCTCAATTAATCGTATTTTAAAATCGCGATTACGATTATGGCTTGCAACGATCACGAAAACAACGTAATCAAAATAAAACGATTATTTGGTTGTTATTATAATTTTTTTGGTTTTTCAGTTGAATTATACTTAAAGTTCAGGTTAATCAACTGTTCAAAACATACTGTTAAAAAAAAAATTCTCCAATAAATGGATGTTTTCAAAGTCAATGAATAATCGCATTTAATAATCGCAATTACAATTATTGACCCAAATAATCGAGATTATGATTTTTGCCATAAACGACCAGCCCTACTTTATGGTGATAAATATGAACATATGGTACTGTTATGGATGGAGATACCAGGCAGTATATACAAATATATGAAAGTTATATCATCCTTTAACAGCGGCAAAACTAAAATGACAAACACATGAATGCATCACTAATTATCAACCAGTTTCATAACATACACGTTTCCAAAAATGGGCCTCTTTGGATAATGAGAAGTTTTAGATTTTGCTGCCATTCTTTTTCGAATGCAGGACGTTTAAGTATTTAAACACTGCGCTATAATCACTTCTACTTCAGTGTAACATAAGAGGAACCATGCAGAGGCCACTGGGTCAAGGAGAGGAGCGATGTGATGCTGAGGGGGGAATTCATCAACGCAGTGAAAACAGAGACAGTGTGTTATCTGCCGCTCGCCTACGTGTTCGGCCTGTCGGGCTAATCTGCGGCCGTTACATATGTCTGCGTGCGTGTTGGTAAAACTCTACATGCATGAGTGTGCTTCCCAATCAGTGTGTGCATCGGCCACTGTTTCAACACCAGGGCCTCTCTCACTAAGCCAGCACAAAGGCAGATGGGAAACTTCCTGAGAGGAAGAAGAGGGGGGAAGAAGAAAAAAATAAATAATCTGGAGCGGGCAAAGCAGCAGGATGTGTCTTTGCTCTTTCACAGAGACACAGAGACACAGAGACACAGAAGTAGCACTGTCGTCCTTTTACTGGTGATATCAATGTTCTACTTTAAGACCTGATGTGAAACACGGGACTGCGATTCTTGTCCTGAGACTATCCTCTGCGTTTCTTCTCCTCTCTTTCTACTTTTCAAAGAACCATCTCTTCATAGTATCCTGATTTTTATCCCTCATCAAAGGCTCTTCCTATCTTAATGACTGCTCATTGGTCAGAGAGGATTCTGGGAAGAGGCCGGCTGCAGATCAGAGGCGAGCAGCAGCCGCTAAACGCTCTCCGTCTCTGTTTATACTCGCCGATCATGTGTCTGATAAAGCTCGAGAGGGATGTGGAGGGAGGGGGGGGCGAGGATGCTGCTCCAAAAGATATGGCTTTCCTTCCTCTCCGAGCGAGCATGTGCACACACAGATTTGCAGAGTAAAAGGAATGCTCTCTTTCTCGTATGATTTTCTCTCGTGAACACCAGAGAAAAAACACTAGAGGAAGGTCTGGCTCTGTTCCTTTACTCTCTGGCAGGAGACCCTAAGGGG